AAGTTTTAGATAGGATCATGGACCAAGATCATGACCACAAAAAAGTAATGTAACGGTGTAGCATTTGCTCAACAACTCAATACAAGTTCATACGTGTTAATTACTTCTACGCACCTAAGGAGGACGAGGGCGTCTCGGCAGACGCAGCGCGTAAGGCGCAGCCGGAGCCTGCGGGGCGTGACCTTCCCCTCGCACCTTAACGCAACGCGTATCGACCTGCATTCACGCGCGGTGCGGCGTCGCCATTGGCCGCGTGGCCACGCGCGGAGGCGTCGACGGCTGCGCCCGTTCTCGCCCCCTCGCTACACCCTCGCGCTCTTTGCCTCTCGGATACGTAGTGCGGTACTGGAACCTAAGTTTGCCATAAACAAATTAAATCGTTCGTTTTAATTTTTAGGCAGATGCTGGAATGCTTAAACTCGAGACTGGACCGCGGCACTGGAACGCAACATTTTCCGAAGTATATTACATAAATAATTCGTAATAAATTTAGGACACATGCTTGAATGCTTTCACGCAAGTTGCCTCGATTGTTAATCACTAAAATTCCGTCCACATTTTTTTTCTTTTGTGCTTGTGAAGTCGATAACGCTGATAAAAATTCTATGAGATAATCTGTTACTTACATTCATTACTTACATCATTGTAGTATTCAGTACTCAATTATAACTGACATTTGCTCATGTGGCAATGACTATTATGAGGCTTGGGAAAGAACGGAAATGCATGGGATAGAAAATAGCGAGGATGACGATCTGTGGAATGAAGATGATCAATGATCTTCCAACGGGATGCAGCGAAAGGCGTTAGTGATGAAATATGGAACAGAAAGTCTGAGAAGCTTTCCTGGCATTGCAAACACAGATCCATCTCATTCAAGCCCTGGGATTTAGTCTACCATCGGTTAATCAAGTGTTCATGATTGATGATTTCCCTTGACAGAAAACGTTACGTTCTGCAACTGGCGAATGAAATAATTCATAGTGTTATGATGAAACAATTAATTTGCAATATTCGGAAAGGAGAAGAAACCGTAGAAAAAATTCTCTGAATTTGGTTAACCGGGAATTCTAGATTCGTCGACCCGGATTTGGGGCCCGGTACTAGAAAATAACGCATTAGCAGCTATCTGTAGGTTGACCAACAGTTCCACTGATCAATCAGTTAGCCATTCAACTCCCCCCCCCACTTTCTGAGCGTTGCTCAGAGGCAACTCTGCAGCTGTCTCTGTAGCAGACTCTGACCGAGTTGTTGTCGTATGCACGTCCCAACGAAGACGGATTTTCGATACTAGCTAGGTAGCTAGGTTGAATTCAACCGCCGTCTGCTGGTTAATTGTGGCGCTCGGCTGCATTGAGCGATAGTTTTCCATGTTTTCCAGGTGAATGCCGGAACATTACCCTAAAGTCCCGCACGTGATCTTCCCTTCCCCTGCCTTGTGCGATCCTCTTCCCTTACCCACACACACACACACACACACTTACATGCAACCCAGTACCACAGATGTCGGGAGTCCAGTCGGGAATTTAGTGTTTGGCTCGTTGGAGCAAGAACCATCGATGCACAGTTGAGAGAGATACCTGGAGGGTGAATTCCCCCGCAAACCGACGACGCTGGATCTCACCATTCAGCAGGGAACACCGTCGACCCCCACAACAAAACTTTTACTTCATTAACGACCGATGGCCATAGCAGTTGACGAGCCGGGAAACATCTCCCTGACTCCCCGGGCTCTCCCTGACTCCCCCATTTACTTCGTTAACGGGACCGATGACCATAGCAGTAGACGATCCGAGAAGCATACATTAATCGATCAATCAATCAATCAATCATTGAAGCTCCCAATCAATGAGCTGTGCAGCGGCGTGTTGGTGCGAGCGGAGGTCGCGGCGTGCGGGGTCCGGGCGTCTCCTTGCCCGTGACTGATTCGTGGGTGGCGTGCGGGCGGCGCTCGCGTGCCAAGGAGGGAGCCCCTCCCCCCGCGGCCACTTGCCGCGTCGCCGTCACCACCGCCCCCCGCCCCCGCCGCCAACGGCGTCGCTTCTGTTGCTAGGTAGCGCCTCCCCGCTGGCCACCGCCGCGCCTACCCGCCCGCTCCGCAGTCGATCGGCCCCGCTCCGCCACGCCTCGCCACGCCACTTCGAACACACCCGTCCACGCCCCCCCTCCATTCCATGCGAGGCGGCTTGTGGTGGAGAGTCACACAGTCAGGGTGAGAAGAGCCGGTGTGGATTATTCTTGCGCATTATTTCGTATCCGAAATGGGAAATCTTTGTGGCAGCACCAGCGTTACGATTAACTTTAAGGCAATGGGACCGACCTTCAGACGAAATAGAATGACTAGTAACTCTCCCCCAGCCCCGGACTCCGCCTCTGCAGGGACATGCTCTAAGCAGCCGATTGGTCTCTCCACATGTGGGGTAATGTAGTGCATGTAAGTGTGTTTTTTGTGTGTGAGGGCAAAGAATAAGACAAGAAGAATGAGAAATATCGTTAGCGGCCCGTGTCCCGTTGTTGCGGTACTACTTCGGTATTCGGCCGGTAGTGATTGAGAAAACCACAGAAATTTACCGATCAAATCTAGAATAAAATCCTCCTGGCTGTGCAGCTAAGGTCGAAATCCGTCAACGTCAGGACAATACCCCTAGGATTTTTTCCATTAAAATCTCTTCAGATTCTCAGCCGCAGGGGCGAGGGAGAGAAAAGAGCCGAGGAAGACGGAGGGGAAGGGACGCGTGCGCGGCAGAGGTGTCGCCAACCGCGTCGCGCGGCGACGACGTAGCCTCGCGTGCTTTTTCTCGAACGCGCTGGCCCCCGCTTAACTTGCGCGATAATTGGCGGCGGCGGCGGCGGCAGCGGCAGCTTTCTGGGAGCCTTCCACGCGTGCACTAACCTCGACGTCAGGCACGGAGCCATCGGCGGAGATGAGCCGATTGCTTCTGTTTGCGGACGGAGTGGAGTTGATTATTTCGCGAGATGAGCATCGATGCAAGTATCGGTCAGAGGTCGGAATTCATGTGTAGTTGAATTGAAGACATGAAAGAATGTTGGGGAATGCATATTGAATGAGTCAATTATTTTCAAAACTATTATTATTTTAAAAAAATATGTTTTCCTTCATAATTTTCACATCTGGGAATGAATGATGAAGTCTGGAATAAAATTATGGCAAAGTTCTACTTATATATGTCATTCTCATGTGCCATTGATTATGTAGACACTTTCATTTGCTGATCACATTAGAAATTTTGAAATCCGCGTCTGCTAAAATTGCGGGCTACGCTAAAATTCCGGTTTCGGAAAGCACACAACATTATTTTCGTTATTGAACTAATACCAAATTTGCATTTCAGTTATTATTTGGATAGTTTCAGTTATTAGTTGGATATTTAAGACTGCTTATTCAAAACAATACATTGTTTCGTGTGTATATTATATATCTGTCATTCAAAAAATCGAGAGCTTGATGAATATTTTTATTACTAAATCTATCAAGCAATTTTGTTGATTTTAAACAAGAGAATTCGTGGAAAAGGAGCAGCAATGCTAAAATTTGTGAGAGTTAAGAAATCACGAAAATAATATTTCATTGTCGCTTTATGGAAAATTGTTTTTCTCATACATCTTCGCGTCCGTTCGTAGATAGAAAGGGTGATTTTATCGACCAGAGCATTACTTTCGTACTGTTTTTTTACATGAAAAGCTTGTGTTATCAATATCAATCGTTGTTTATCTGCATGTAGCTATAAATATGCGTCTCCAAGGAATATTTTTTACCAATAACGTTGCGCCTGGTGTACCCGGAAAACATTGGTTGGCGGCGAATTGGCCCACTTCAGGTCACGATATTTCAGAAGAAAATGAGATTGATGCATAGAAATTATATATACGACCGTGTTGTCTCCGCGTCAGGAGCAATTTCCTTCATTAGCGTCTATTACTCCACCGTATTGACGAGTGCGAGTCACGCAGCGATCGCAGCGCCCTCGGGGGACGCGGCCGATGCGGGAACCTGCGTGGGCGGATCGAACATGGGCGTGCTGAAGGCTCCTGAAGAGAAAGAAGATTGGTCAAAACTGTAGTTTGAGGCTGCTTTCAATATCAAAAGACTAGTCGAACGACCACTTTTTATAGAAGAGAATAGATTTGATAATGAAAGGAAATAAATTGAATAAGAGTATATGTGACGCAACTTCATCCACTTTTGTTTTTGAGCAATATACATTTTAAACACAACTTTATCTTGACATTTGGATTTTAGCATGCATTCTCCAGAACGTTTGAGGATATGAACGTTTATTTGTATTTTAATAGCTAATATTTAATCAAAATTTTAATGTTTTTTACATTTTTTATGTGTGGGATATACATTTTTAAAATTTTTGAAGAGTAGCTACATTATTCGTTATAGTATACGACAATTGACATCATTGCTTGTCTAATTTATATGTATAGAAAAAACGTATTCAAAAATTGTTATAAGTATTATAATTTTGTAAACATTCTTGTCCAATGCGAATTCTGTCGATTTGGGGCCATTGTAATTCATCTTGTGCAGTAATATTAAGTTCACCCCCGAGAAATGAATTACAAAGCATTGGCCACTCGACCAGCCATTTCGTTCGCCTGAATTGTGAAGGGATTCGTCAGTCATCGCCCATACGCCCTAACACGCGTCTTCCAGTCGCGAGCGCCACTTAGGCCAGGAGGCGGATGTCGTAAATCCGGCGCAGCGATTAGATTTAATTCGTTCGCGTCCGCGGGCGGCGGTCGCGCCGCTAACATATCCATCCGCGTTCGCATCCATCGGCGGTCGAAATGGGCGGTTGCGGCGCCGCGTTGTGAACGCGGGGCGCGGGCGTCTAACCTGAGCGGCCGTTGGCGTCTCGAGTCGACTCGGCGCCAACTCAGGGGGCGATTGGCGGCGACTCGCCTGCGGCGTCGTCTGCGCCCGGACCGGCCACGCCGGCGCTGGCGTTTGGAAGCCGTCCGGGCGAGTAATGCACGAGCGCCCGGCCCCGCGCCCCGAGCCCGGCTGGATGCCCATCGAGTCGCAGGAGTGCTCTGGATTTGCCTTGATCCGCTCTTGCGGGAAACGTTGCCCTTTCGGTATCCTACTGTCACTCTTCTGTCTTCCGTTCTTGCCTTCCTTCTTCTTCCTTCTTTCTTTCCTCCTTTCTTTTTCCTTCGTTTCCATGCTCTTTCTTTCTCTCTTCTTTCCTGCCTTTCTTCCTTTTCTTTCTTCCATTTCTTCCTTTCTTCCTGCCTTTCCTTCCTTTCTTTTCCTCTTCCTTTCTTCCTTTCCTTCTTCCTTTCTTTCTTTCCTCTTCCTTCTTTCTTCTTCCTGCCTTCTTCTTCTTTCTCTTCTCCTTCTTTCTTCTCTTCTTCTTTCTTCCTTGCCTTTCTCTTCTTTGCCTTCTTTTTCCTTTTTCCTTCTTTCTTCCTTTTGCGCCTGGACATTTACCCCCCTTTCTCATTTTCCTTTTTTCTTCCTCTTTCTCTTTCTTCTTTTTCTTTCTTCTGTTCCCTTCTTGTCTTCTTGTCTTCGTTTCCTTTTAGTCTTCTTCCTTTTTATCTTTTATTTCCTCCATTTTCTAACTCTTCTTTAACTGAAATTTCTGGAAGATGTATTGCTATCAAATATCATTGCTAGCTTCGTCTCAGCGGGTTATCACTTGCTAATGTTATTATCATCTTCTTACATCTACCACATTCCTCAGGTTTTTCATCCTTTCTAGTCTACCCATCTTTACACCCAATTCTATTATACTAATGCTCTTCGAATTTCTTCTTATATTTCCAGATGTCCTGCTCCCCTGCCCTTCTCTCTCCTCTCTCTCTCTGTCCTCTCTCCTCTATTCACTGCTACTGTCCCTTCCTCAACACCCCGCACTCGCTCTGCTGCTTGATCTCCACGCGTTCGCCTCGCTCCCCTGCCTGGCGCCCCCGTCCCCGCTCCCTCCTCCCCGCCGCCTTCCGCCGCCGCCTCCGCGCCGCCATTTACCGCGGCCGCCGTCCCGTCATCAAGCCGCGGGAATCAAGGTTGCCAAAAAGGATGAGGGGTTCCAGCCGTTTAAAGTGGCTTGCGCCACGAATATATTACGTGACGGGCGATACGGCCGGTGCATCGTTATTGGTTTTTAAACGCACCGGCCCTCGGCAGCCGACAGCGTCTCCCGCTCCGGCAATAGCGGGTTAGTTAGGAGGCGGCAACGAGGCTGATGACGAGCCGGCCCCATCGCGAGCCGCCGCGACGCGTGGGTTGCTACGCAACGCCGCTTCCCCACCTCTCCGCCCCTCCCGCCCCGCCGCACCCCAGCGAGACGCCGCCCCCTCCCCGCCCCGCTCCGCCCCGCCCGCTCCTGCGGGGCTTTGCGTCCCGCTCCCCGCACACCTTCGCCAACAGAGTTCGCCCTGATACGGTCACCGCGCATAGATACCCTCTCCCCGGATAGACAAACAGGCGTTGTTTATGCTAAAAATAACCCCGACTTAACACGAGATACAAAGTATTGATGTAGTTTTAATCCGCGTGTGAAATCGGAAGAGAATTGTGTGTAATAGCATTTGAGAATCTCTCATCAAAATTGAATATTGAAAGCAAGGCAAAAAGCATTATGAAAATATATTTAACACTTTTCTCATTTTATGTTCTTTTATTAACATTAAATGGAATGTACATTGTATTCCGCTAAATTCACGGCAAAAAATTTACGATGAGAAAAAAAGAATGTTATGTCTTTGAAGGATTCGATATAAGATATCCGAAACCTATTAATTGTATAGATATTTATGCCATCTGTACCCCTTAGATACTCCAAATTTAAATTATGCACATCCATATTTTCTACAAAATTGGATTATAAATTTCTGCACCAACATTTTTCATCGTCAAGTGGAGTCTAATGAGTTTTTGTTCTCGTTGCAATCTGCATTGCTTGAAACTCGGGCAAATGATTTTGCTGCAGCCCGCAATGCGTCATTTCAGCTGTTTGTGAGGTCTCGTCCCGCCCTCCTTTTCGCCGGGTCTCGCCCAGTCGCGTTTTCCGCCCCTAACTATTGCCACCGCCCTTCGTACTATTCCCCCCCCCGCGCGCCTGCGTTTTGGTCCGCCGCGCAGCTCATGGGGTGTAAAATTGTGCGGGGGGGGCGGGGGGGAGGGTGAGTCGCCGCTGGCCGAGGGGACGCGTCCCCTGGGTGTTAAAGTTACTCGCATTGGTGGGAGCGACGTCCCCTGCTTCAATTGCGGTTTCCGATGCGGGGGTCCACTTGCGATTCCACTAATTTGTTTGTCACTGCCCGAGGGAGCTTGTCCTCTAAACGCGTTAGAACAAACATTTTATCCGCTTAAGCGGGCATACCGCTTTGTGCATAGAGGGGATGTTAAAAGTATTCTGGTGACTCAACAGATTGATGGTAGATTACGTAAGGTTAATGCGTTCCGGGAGGCTGTTAAAATATCTGGCTTGTTTGCCAATATTCAATACGTGTGAAAGAACAAGAATGGAAATGTGTAGAGAGAATTTTAACATCATATTTCATTATTACTAGAGTTTAGTAAATAATTTATTTTCAAAATTGTTCATATAATAGGAACTTTTTTTTCCTTTAGGATGTCGATTAAAAACACTTGAATCTGTTTACAGAGTGTCCCTCCTCTTCCTTACTTAATAATTCTAACTTTCTCGGACGTTGAAGTTCTGCGTAATGGCCTTGCATCTTGTGGACTCGATACTTAAACCAATTTTAATATAAAGATACGAGAGTCCGTAACAAAATGACCTCCCAAGCCTCTAATCGTTTGTCTCATTTCTGCACCGGTCCTCAGACCTCCAGCATGTAATTGTTCCCTTTTGTTGATATCAAAAAGCGTGTAAATCATAATAGACAAGGGAACAGATCCTCCAGGCGAAGGTGTAGAGAGGACTGACGTCAGTGAAAGAGAAGCGACGGCACTTTCGGTAGTCTAATGGTTAGCGTATTCAAATTCGCGGGTTCAACTCGCGGGAAAAACTGTGGATTTTTAGACGCACGCCAGTGTTTCGAGGGGAAAGCAAAGCCACCTGTCCCATGGTCTTGTAGATATACTTACACGTAAACGATACTCAATCCTAAATGAGAAACCTCTGCGCTAAATTTAAATCGCCTGTAATAGTCGTCTGTAGTGTTAACCTTCCTTTCTCTACTTAGATGGCGAAAGGAGCGTAGCGAAATTTGGTGGATCAGGCGAAGAGGCAGGCCTGATGGGCCTAGCCTCGCAAACACGTAAAATAAGGCGTCATTGATAGATGATTAGTGGAAGGAGCGTAGAGCCACAACGCTGGCGAGACCAGTGCAGGGAGAGCGGGGAAGCGGCTGGACGGGATGAGATCCGCGTGACTTTTGCGATTCGCCCACGGACGAGCGGCCGCTTGGCGACGCTGCTTAACCGGGACCGCCGCCCGCTCTCACCCTCGCCGCCGCTACAAATTAATTTTAGGACCTCGTGCGAACTCCGGGCAACGGCGACGGCAAAGCACATTTGCAGCTTGGGAACGGTTTCAGTTGCTTCTCCGCAATCTCAAAATTGACTGTTTTTTGAGACGAAAAGTCAATACGTACTCCCCGCGATATTGAATAAATATCTAACATTTTAATGTGCTTTTTTACAAAGACTACATATTTATTATGTTCATCAATGAAAATTGTTCTTTTCTTTTACAAACTACGTAGATGAATATAACGTATTAAAAATACCGGAAATAATTAACCAATTTTCTTAATCTGTTAATTGTTAAAGCGCTTGAAAAAATCTATGGATTTGGTATTACAGATACCAAATGAGATGGAGTTTTAAACCGCTTTTTACCACACAATTTTGAGATATTTCCCATTTTACTAATTCCTTTACATACGATTAATAGTAAATAAAATGATCACTTCCAGTGTTAGTTCCAGAACAGTTAACTTTAACTTGTACGTACAGTTACCAAACTGAAAAAACCATCAGATCCTTTAAGCAGTTCTTACAAGCTATGTCCTGAGTATCGCACAAAATAGTCAAACATAACCAATTACCTGAGAAAAATTCAGTCGGCGGCTTATAGTTTATTTTTTTTTAAAAACGAATGTAAAGTGTTTTTAATTTACGGAGTGAGGAATTAAATAATCTCGTTACAGTTCAACTACCCTCTCTCTCAAATTCATTTTCCTCTTCTCATTTCAAGATTTTGCGTCCCGTCGCGCATGCGCCACACTGCGGCTCATATATTTTCAGTCAAGTGGAAAGCATTGCGGTGGAAAAAGGGGTCGTCAGAGGTGGACGTCGCTGGGCGGCCTCGAATCGCTCCGCGATAGGTCTCAAGCCAGCGCTTGCTGCAGATGGAAATCCCTGATACTTAACGCCGACGCAAATCGCCTGCGATGGTCATCGAGTTTTTCTCGCTTGATGGGGAAGAGCTTTGGGTCTTTGTTCGTCTTATCGATGGTTCCAGTCGAGATTCTTCATATTGGAGGCTGAGGTGCAGATGGCGCCAGGTTAGACTGGCAACGAAATGTGAAATGTATCTACCAAGATATTTCCGAAAGTATTCTTAATGAGTTTCGTTTGACTGTATCTCGGTATTTAAAAAATGGTAAAAGTAGTTAAAAAGTTTAGGAGTTGACTTGCTGATTTTCCACTTTGGGATTTTGATACTGAAATTCACTCTGCTTGCGTTAGAATTTTATGGAATTTCCCTGTTTCCTCTGACATTCATTTCCGGCATGACTTCATCTGTATTCATCGTCGTCGTCGTCGTCGTTGATTTATCGTTACCACTTGCTCGAATCAAAAATGACTGAGGAAACAACTGTTTCAGCGATTCGAAGTGACACGGGCAGCTGAGTAGGATATGATACTTGAACAAAGACATCCCTGGGAAATATCAACGCACGTTTAGTCCATTCTTACACTAAAATGTTAGTGTCCTGTATCACAATACGTCCTCCAGAATTTTTTAAATTCGTATTGCAATAACTAGACATATTTAAATTTCATACTTTATTTTAAAATTTACATATTTTTAAATTAGTATTATATTTCTCATCGGTCACTGTTCTGTGGAAATAACAAATGGATTAAATAGTGATAATAGTTGTTTTTTTTTTTTTGCACTATGAAGATACTCTTTATTCAGAACTGAAAATGTAGAAGCAGCGAAATAAAAAAAAATTCTTATGTTCATATGAAATGTTTTGAATAACATCTGTAATTTTAATGCCATCCCGAAAAATCGCGATCTCGAATTTCTAATAACACGAAACGATAACGAAGAAACCGCAAGCGCGCCTCGAGAAATTCTCGACGCGTCGCAATCTCGATCGGCGTGGCGCCGGTTACCTTTCCGCGCGCCGGCGTGGAGGTCGCGCGCGCGCGCCCCGCCCCCGCCACCCCCTGCCGCCCCCACCCCCGCCCTCACTCGCCCCGCGCCGTAATTGCGCTCTGAGCTCCCGCCGCCGCCGCCCCCGCCAGCGCTGCTGCTACTACCGCTGGCGCCGTTCTTATCTGTTTGAGGAATCTGCTTCTTCAAAGTTCAAGCAGCCGCCACATGTTGACTTTAACTGAACGCTTCGCCCCGCGCGAATCTTCAACACGGCTTGAGAACTTCATGGCGTCTGTTGTGTCCCTCGGCGGCGCAGCGCGCGCTTCGCGTATGAGGCGTCGGCTGAGAAAATGTTACCGGAGTCAATAAGAAACCTCGCTGAACGGGAAGCATCGGTACAGTTGCCAACGTTTCGGCATCATACAGCAGGCTACCTCGAAATGCTAAGTTTTGGCATTTTAGAGCGTCATTTAGGCATTTGATTAGGAAGAAGTTTTCAAGTACGACGGGCCGAAAGTTGGCAACCTTGCTAGGATGCGCTTCGCAAGTCAGCCAAGTCGAAGGCTTTTTGAGCTCATTCATTCTACACATGTAGTATTTAGAACTTGCTTTGGAGAAGTGGGTTAACGATTAGATTACTCTCCATCTTTTGTTGTTTTTCGCTTCGTTCCCCTTTAGCGTAAAACTATCGTAATTTAGTCAACTTTCCCGCCCCCCATTGTCATTCATTAATTTGATCACACACTAGGACTGGTGTTATCCGAGGTATAAACGTCTGGCGAAACTAGAAATTAGCAAAACTACCACATCCACATATAAAAATGAGTCCCTGAGTTTCACCTCAGGGGAAGTCATTAGGAGTGTCCATTTCATGTCGATTGCATTCGATGTGTTAGTAACCTATTTCTATCGACCCTTAGACGAATATATCTCGGGTCAGAGGTACGTCTACCTAAGATGTGAAGAATTACCGAAAATTTGTCTGCGCTTTAGGCAATGTTTGTTATCGTGGAGTTCAACAGCCTTCGCATTGCATTGGTTTTGAAAGACGTTCTTATGTGGGAGATTTGTTCATTTCATCTTTAAAAATTTTTACATTTGCCAGCGACCAAAATTGTGTCATGTTCCACGAACAGTTAACTGTCTTCTTTGGATGATAACGCAAAAGAGCTTCTACAAAGTACAATTCCCTTTCTCTCATCTTGTGTGCTGACGTTTGCGCCCTTGGAACTACCTTTTCTCACCTTTCGAAAATCGTCAAACGTGCTCCGCAGACTTCACAAAAGCACCGTCTCTCCTCCATGTTCACCATGTGTGCTTCTCCCTCATCTCCACCACCACAAATACCAACCCGAACTTCCCATCCCCATACTTACGGCACTCCTATTCAATCACTGTTTGTGGAATGCGAATGACATTGTTTTGTGTGATTTTGTGTGTTTTGCGTTCTGTTTCGATGTTGATCCGTTTGTTTTGCTGTCTTATTTTCCTTCTGTTTCCCAAGAAAGTATTTTTGGCTGCTGTTTTATTTTGCGTGTGTTTATCGTTCGTTTTTTTTCATGTTACAATGTTTTATTCCCTTCCATGTGCCACTGCTTTTTTTTCCTTTCCCAGCTTTCTTTGGCTTGCTTTTACCGTTTCATGTAAACATTCTATTGTTCAATTTCTTGTTTTCCAGTGTGGATTAACTTGAGCTTTTTATTGTCTCTTCTTTGCCCTGTTATCACTGTTTTATATCTGTTCTGTAGTCACATTTATTGCTCCTGCTCTGCGCCCCTGAGGAGGGCGTGGCTGGCGAGCGGGGCGGCTTGCATGTGCCGCCCCTTTCGTGATACCGCCGCGTGTGCATGTTGTAACGTGCTGCTGCTGGCCCCGCCGTCCCCCATGCGAGAGGACACGCAGACCCGCCTCTTCCTCGACTGCGCCCACTATGGTGGGCATGTCGCGTACGTCTGACGCTCTGTTCATGTACTGGCAATGTCGAATATGCTGTAGCGTGCTGGCGTTTACCGCAGAGCAGATGATCGAGAAAGTGTCTACTGACGCATGTCGAGCTATTCGATGTCACATGAAGAAAGGGAAGCAAACTAGGTTGTGGTATAATGCAAAGCTGTGATACGTCTGTTTAATATCATTAGATTTCAATAAATTTTCAGAAGATGAATTTTTTGTCAAAAGTTAATAATAATGATAATAATAATAATAACCAATAATAAAACAATAATAATAAACAACAACAATAACAACAAAATAATAACAAACATAAAAAAACTAATAACAATAATAAAAATAATACAACAATAATAATAATACAATACTAAAGAAGTCCCTTTTCAGTTTTCTGTCACTGTTATTGTTCTTCTAGTTACGTATAATAGGGTTTTCGAATGTATTCTGACCCGCAGCATACAACATGGTGTTTTCCAAATATCTGAAAAGAAAATTTTGAGAAATTGTAGCGAAACCTGGATAATTTATTGTAACAGTTCCAATTTAAAGACATTTAAGACATTTTAAAAATAATCCTGTTCTTTATTAATTTCGAACCCTCTTTATCAATTATATTATTTGAACTTAATCTGCAATGTAACTAATTAATTTTTTTGAACACAGAACACAATAGGCTTTCTAGATCTATCTGAATCCACATGTGAATTAAGTGACCTGAATGAGAAGCGACATGCAAGAATTTTTGAAGAAGAAAATAACCAATAAACACAACCGTGTTAAATTATTTGCAATGTTTTGATTGAGCAAAACGAGGGAAGCCGGAGTCATGCCCCTACTAACAAAGCTGTTGGCAATAGCGCCTAAAAGTAAAATAAGTTAAGTTTGTTACAGTGAGAATTTTAAATTGGTAAAGTCACTGTTTGGATATCTCAAAACTATTTCAAAATTTCCCCAATACCGGACCGTCGCGGCCCCTTCTCTCTGCCGATTTGGCATTCGTTATATCACGCCTTGTCCTCTCTAGTATGCAAATGCCGGTACCATTACCGTACTGTGCTTAGCATGCGCATTTCAGACAATGAGACCCTGCGGAGACTTTTCCGAAAACAAGAAGAAAGAAAAAATTCTCACTGTAACGACTAGACTAAGACGGACGACGTTGTGTCATCGAGGTGCGTTGCGAAGCAATTAGGCGGCGCGGGTTCCCAAGTGGCTGGCGGGGCGTCCCAGGCGCCTGCCCGGGGCTGCCATGTGAGAAAAGAAACTCCTGTGAATTAATAACGCATTCAGCGACCGCCGCCTTTTAACCAGTTGCCTCGGCTCACCGGTCGCTGCGCTTCCGTGCAGGATCTGCTCTTTATTAGTGGCTCCGCACGCGGTTCCGTGGAAGCCGAGTGTTTTGCATAGCCGCTAGTTGCGGGCATAATTTACATTTAAAATGAGTGGTAAAAAACTGCGCTCAATGTAAAAAAGATATAGTCTTCAAAGCGTCGGTAGAAGCAATCTCTCTCTGTTGCAATGACTTTCATTTGTTTTAAGTTTGAAAATAGTTCAGCACAAAAATGAATCGTGACGGTTAAAGTAACCCTCTTTCTACAATCGTAGTAAATTTAAAAATTAATTATTTACTGGAGTGTTATTATAGTGAGTTGTGATCGCGTAGCGGCACTGAAATTTGCTCCGATTTTTGTGGTTATGTCATTTTGAAAAATAATTTCCAGCCCGGCGGTTTTTCAATAACAAAATCAATTTTCAATCTCAGAACGGAATTTATTCAACATTATCCTGACCCTAACAGATGTTTCATGGTTTTCTTATCATCCGACTTCTCTGACTGCATCTAACTTGAAATGTGTTTTTTTTTTGGGGGGGGGGTTCATCACAAGGTGGGAAATTCTAAGTGATGACACATCTTGTTCTGTAGTCCCTTTCCATTCTCTAAACTTCCATTTTCACCTCAACTTTTCCTCATCCCCATCCCACACCTAATTACTAGACGTTCTTTGTTTACCAATCTCCTACGCACTCCTCGAAACAACGTACTTCTTCTGATCTGCTTCTTTCCCCACCTGCTTCCTTAGACCTTCCGGGTGATGGCTGGCATTCACTGTAACCCAAAGACCGCTACCGGGCTCTTTATCCGCAGCTTATCTGGCAGAGAGACAATGCTCTTGTCAGTGCACGATGTCGCCACTCTCCGCAGACCCAGTTGACTCGACGCCTGTTTCCTGATTGCAAACGCGGCTCGAGCAAGAGAGAAAAAGAGAGAGATTGCTTCCCAAAAGAGTTATGAGGCAACACATTTCGGTTACGCCCTCGATGACATCATTTCGCTAAAATGTCATTCGTTCCTTTGAGAAAGAAAGTAACTCCGTATGGAGATGTGGGTGGAGTTCATTTGGCAGTACGCTTAAAGAGAGAGACGTAACAAACAATACGAATTCAGTGTTTTATTTAGTGGAGTCAGAAGCTGCTTCTTTCGTACGCATGCGGTAGTCAAAACGCAGGTTGGACAACGATTCTCTTCTTTTGGTGATCTAAATGCAAATGCAACTACAGTTGGAAAGGAAAGAGATGGCTAAAGCGATAAGAAAATTGTGAAGGTAGTGGTGCCATTATTTTACAAAAACAATCACTGGAAACAATTCGTCGTTTATATTTTGTCGACATTAGGTATGAACGTGAATTGAAAAGTGTTAGACATATAAACGAGGTAATATTTTAGATTAACGAGTGAAAACCTTTAATGGAATTAGTTGAGTAGCTGAATTGTGCTGCTATTTATTTCATTTTGTCAGTACGATTGATACTGTATTTTGTTTCGAAAATACTACAGTTCAGTGAAGGGAAAAAACGTTTGGCTGTTGGGTTACACTAGCTACCGTCAATGCCAGAATCGGAAGTAGCTGGATTTTTTCAGCTAAGAATATAACAAGCACATTCTACGAGAAGTTAATTTAGTTCTATGGACCTAAAAATTACATTCAGTTAACGTGTAAATAAACTTTGTATTTTAAATTATTAATAGATTGTTTAAATCAGAAGGGCGATTTCTATTCATGTATTTTTTGTAGTCATTGAATAATAATAATAGAGGTTATTTATTCAATGTGTTGTAAGTGAATCGCTACTTCAACCATAGGAAAGCCTTCATGTAGCTCGTAATGATTAATTAATATACATTTTAATATATTTCGAAATGGTGTTGGTATTGTCAAATTATTTTCTAGCCTCTCTTCACAAAATGCGTGACAAGTTCTCAATGCCTCGTTTTAAGAAGTCTAATGGACGAAAATAATAGCTTATGGCTGTAGTTGATGTATGTATGTTCACGAGAACCAAAGGAAATCTAACCTTTAATTTTGGTTGCTGTGCGTAGAAAGTCAGTAACAGATAAAAAGAGCATTCTATCCGGATCCGGATCTAATGGGTCAGAAAGCAATTGATTTAGGAAGCAAAACTAAAAGTAGATATCACATAGAAACTCTAGGAAGCAAATCTATTTAGTTATGCGGTTAAAGCACAGCAGATAATATTGTGAGATAATATTGAATCAATCAACATCACTCTAGAATTCCAGAACCATAAGCAAACATTAATTTTATAACGAAAATGAATTGAAATTCGACAGGAAATAAACCACCCACAAATAAAATTCGCATCGCGTGATCAGGCCATTGAGCAGTTCTGCCAACATGAGCAACCTGTTCTCTGTCAGCCGCTGCTCCCGAGGAACTCCGCCCGCGTCACGGCCTTCCCAAGGCCTCTGTCTCAAACGCGCCGCCCGTCGGCGTCTTGTTGCAGAGGGCCGCGAGTGCGTCAACTGCGGCGCCACCTCCACGCCGCTGTGGCGTCGCGACGGCACCGGCCACTACCTCTGCAACGCCTGCGGCCTCTACTACAAGATGAACGGCCAGAACCGGCCGCTGATCAAGCCCAAGCGACGACTAGTGAGTGTCATAGTACAGAGCCGCTCTGCTCTGGCCCGCGCGGCCGCGCCTGGGTTAGAGAACGTCGCTCGCTGATGGATTTTATGCCCTTTAGGTACAGGACATAAGTAATTGACAAATTAGAGTTGTATCTAAAAATGTATTGGCTAAAGTCTTAAATGTTCTTTACATTATACTTAAAATTGAACTCAATGTTAAATTGTATTTTAAAAGGTTTGATGCATAGAGTAGATAATTAATTGACGAAATAATGCAAAATTTATATTTAAAAACATACAGGTTAAAGCCTTAAATGTTACTTTACCTCGAACTCATTTTTTGTTAAAATGTATTTAAGAATATTAGATGCATTCTTATTTGAGAAAGTTTGTTGGCCACATTAGCTTTATTTTTACAATGCGAGCGAAATATCAGTTCTCTAATCTAGGTGCAATAATTGTATGTATGCTTTGAATGTGTGAGTTTTGTGGTGAATGTCAATTTTAATAATGGGACTTGGGTGTCCCATTATTGTCCCATATGTGTCCATCCGCACAGCGCGTTGTCTTTGAAAATTATTTTCACTTATCTATGAAATAATGCAAATTAAATATTGTGTGTTACCAAACTCTGCAGTGTCACGATGGCAGTGTAACATATGTCTATGATTCAGCGTTGAGAAACTCTTATTCATATAAAGATACTTCATTCAAAGTCAAGTCAATTTTGTCAGTCAGTCTTGAGGTGACAGTCGACCTCAGACTATCGACTTCAAGAGTGACATGTGATAGAGTTTTAACTATTTTACGTGCCACTTGCAGTTCTACTTTGACATTTTACATTCAAAGAATTAAGGAGTTTACATCCAGAAATTATATATGCCCTAACATTTTGTTTCATTCGCACGTCTAATTGTCTGGAGCACGAGAGAGCCAGAGTGAGAACTTTTTCAAAATTCTCCACGATAGAATACCACAAAAAGGAAGACTAAAGTTTTTTAACACTAAAGCATTTAGAACACACACACGCTCAACACTGTATTTATATCACCTTCCGCTACTGTTTCGTCGCTTTCGTCCCTCAAAATTCCCTCGCTCGCGTCCTCGCACGGGTCTCAGAGTGAGTGTTTTTCCCAAGAGTTACATTTTTCAAAACTACATTTAAGACCACACTGTATGGTGCTTTTCAGAGGATAGAATTCTGTTTTTCCAAAAACATTTGATCGTTCAGGTAGCTTACGCCTACCAAACGATAGCGTGAATATATTCATTAAATTGATTAGTACAGCTCTGTCAAACAACAAATACAATTTGTTTTCAGTTATCTTTGGAGGTGTGTCTTTATTACACAGAAATAAATCAGTAAATTATTCTTTTTATTTGCACACATCGATTTTAAATGTAAACTACTTATGATTGGCATTCTAATGACTCAATTGACATAACTTAGGCGAATAAATTCAAAACAATCAAACCTTCAACCCTGCGTAACAATATTTTTCTTAAGAGGCCGGCCGCTAGAATTTCCCCTCACAGAAGGGCTGAATTGCACTTAGGTGTCTAGGCAGAAACAAAAATCTGCCACTGTCGGGACTCGAACCCTAGACCTCCCCAATCTGTCCAGAGGCAGCAGCGATGCTGCCTTGTGAGCTTAACCCAACAGGTTCGTTGATCTCGATAAAACACCAAAACACCTTCCAAATTCAAAACGAATAACTCACTATTTGCTGTACGATATCAAATAATTTTATGTCCTATTCTAACACACACACAAAAATTTAATATGACAGTGGATCGCCACTCCAAGTTCCTCAGTGGTCGCCCATCAGCCATTAGAGGTGCCCATCCGAAC